CCGCAATGTAAGCATTGCCATATCTACTAAACCCTGCAATTTAAGCATTGCCATATCAAGTGAACCCCGCAATGTAAGCAGTGCCATATTTACTAAACTCGGCAATGTATGCATTGCCATATCTAGTGAAATCTCACAATGTAAATGTAAGCATTGCCATATCTAATGAAACCTGCAATGTAAGCATTGCCATATCTACTAAACTCTGCAATGTAAGCATTGCCATATCTACTAAACCCTGCAATGTAAGCATTGCCATATCTACTAAACCCTGCAATGTAAGCATTGCCATATCTACTGAACCCTGCAATGTAAGCCTTGCCATATGTACTAAACCCTGCAATGTAAGCATTGCCATATCTACTAAACCCTGCAATGTAAGCATTGCCATATCTACTGAACCCTGCAATGTAAGCCTTGCCATATGTACTAAACCCTGCAATGTAAGCATTGCCATATGTACTAAACCCTGCAATGTACGCATTGCCATATCTACTAAACCCTGCAATGTAAGCATTGCCATATTTACTAAACCCTGCAATGTAAGCATTGCCATATCTACTAAACCCTGCAATGTAAGCCTTGCCATATCTACTAAACCCTGCAATGTAAGCCTTGCAATATCTACTAAACCCTGCAATGTAAGCATTGCCATATCTACTGAACCCCGCAATGTAAGCATTGCCATATCTACTAAATCCTGCAATGTTATCATTGCCATAACTACTAAACCCCGCAATGTAAGCATTGCCATATCTACTTAATCCTGCAATGTTATCATTGCCATAACTACTAAACCCCGCAATGTAAACATTGCCATATCTACTAAACTACGCAATGTAAGCATTGCCATATCTACTAAACCCTGCAATCTAAGCATTGCCATATCAAGTGAACCCCGCAATGTAAGCATTGCCATATTTACTAAACTCGGCAATGTATGCATTGCCATATCTAGTGAAATCTTGCAATGTAAATGTAAGCATTGTCATATCTAATGAAACCTGCAATGTAAGCATTCCCATATCTACTAAATCCAGCAATGTAAGCAATGCCATATCTACTGAACCCTGTAATGTAAGCATTGCCATATCTACTGAACCCTACAATGTAAGCATTGCCATATCTAGTGAACGCCGCAATGTAAGCATTGCCATATCTACTAAATCCTGCAATGTAAGCCTTGCCATATCTACTAAATCCTGCAATGTAAGCCTTGCCATATGTACTAAACCCTGCAATGTAAGCATTGCCATATCTACTGAACCCTGCAATGTAAGCATTGCCATATCTACTGAACCCCGCAATGTAAGCATTGCCATATCTACTGAACCCTACAATGTAAGCATTGCCATATCTTCTAAACTCTGCAATGTAAGCATTGCCATATCTACTAAACCCTGCAATGTAAGCATTGCCATATCTACTAAACTCCGCAATGTAAGCATTGCCATATCTACTAAACCCTGCAATGTAAGCATTGCCATATCTACTAAACCCTGCAATGTAAGCCTTGCCATATGTACTAAACCCTGCAATGTAAGCATTGCCATATTTACTAAACCCTGCAATGTAAGCATTGCCATATCTACTAAACCCTGCAATGTAAGCATTGCCATATCTACTGAACCCCGCAATGTCAGCATTGCCATATCTACTAAATCCTGCAATGTTATCATTGCCATAACTACTAAACCCCGCAATGTAAGCATTGCCATATCTACTAAACTACGCAATGTAAGCATTGCCATATCTACTAAACCCTGCAATTTAAGCATTGCCATATCAAGTGAACCCCGCAATGTAAGCAGTGCCATATTTACTAAACTCGGCAATGTATGCATTGCCATATCTAGTGAAATCTCACAATGTAAATGTAAGCATTGCCATATCTAATGAAACCTGCAATGTAAGCATTGCCATATCTACTAAACTCTGCAATGTAAGCATTGCCATATCTACTAAACCCTGCAATGTACGCATTGCCATATCTACTAAACCCTGCAATGTAAGCATTGCCATATCTACTGAACCCTGCAATGTAAGCCTTGCCATATGTACTAAACCCTGCAATGTAAGCATTGCCATATCTACTAAACCCTGCAATGTAAGCATTGCCATATCTACTGAACCCTGCAATGTAAGCCTTTCCATATGTACTAAACCCTGCAATGTAAGCATTGCCATATGTACTAAACCCTGCAATGTAAGCATTGCCATATCTACTAAACCCTGCAATGTAAGCATTGCCATATTTACTAAACCCTGCAATGTAAGCATTGCCATATCTACTAAACCCTGCAATGTAAGCCTTGCCATATCTACTAAACCCTGCAATGTAAGCCTTGCAATATCTACTAAACCCTGCAATGTAAGCATTGCCATATCTACTGAACCCCGCAATGTAAGCATTGCCATATCTACTAAATCCTGCAATGTTATCATTGCCATAACTACTAAACCCCGCAATGTAAGCATTGCCATATCTACTTAATCCTGCAATGTTATCATTGCCATAACTACTAAACCCCGCAATGTAAACATTGCCATATCTACTAAACTACGCAATGTAAGCATTGCCATATCTACTAAACCCTGCAATCTAAGCATTGCCATATCAAGTGAACCCCGCAATGTAAGCATTGCCATATTTACTAAACTCGGCAATGTATGCATTGCCATATCTAGTGAAATCTCGCAATGTAAATGTAAGCATTGCCATATCTAATAAAACCTGCAATGTAAGCATTGCCATATCTACTAAATCCAGCAATGTAAGCAATGCCATATCTACTGAACCCTGTTATGTAAGCATTGCCATATCTACTGAACCCCGCAATGTAAGCATTGCCATATCTACTGAACCCTACAATGTAAGCATTGCCATATCTTCTAAACTCTGCAATGTAAGCATTGCCATATCTAGTGAACGCCCCAATGTAAGCATTGCCATATCTACTAAATCCTGCAATGTAAGCCTTGCCATATGTACTAAACCCTGCAATGTAAGCATTGCCATTTCTACTGAACCCTGTAATGTAAGCATTGCCATATCTACTGAACCCTACAATGTAAGCATTGCCATATCTACTAAACCCTGCAATGTAAGCATTGCCATATCTACTAAACCCTGCAATGTAAGCCTTGCCATATCTACTAAACCCTGCAATGTAAGCCTTGCAATATCTACTAAACCCTGCAATGTAAGCATTGCCATATCTACTGAACCCCGCAATGTAAGCATTGCCATATCTACTAAACCCTGCAATGTAAGTACTTCGTCATATCTACTTAATCCTGCAATGTTATCATATAACTACTAAACTCCGCAATGTGGGCATTGGCCATATCTACTAAACTACGCAATGTAAGTACTACATATCTACTAAAACCCTGCAATCTAAGCATTGCCATATCATGAACCCCCAAGAATGTGCTACATCACATATTTATACTAAACCGCACGTATGCATTGCCATATCGGCGTGAAATCTCAGAATGTAAATGTAAGCATTGCCATATCTGAATGAAACCTGCAATGTAAGGCCATATCTACTAAACCCTGCAAATAAGCATTGCCATATCTACTGAACCCTGCAAATGTGTTTCCTACATATGTACTAAACCCTGCAATGTAAGCATTGCCATATCTATTAAACCCTGCAATGTAAGCATTGCCATATCTACTGAACCCTGCAATGTAAGCCTTGCCATATGTACTAAACCCTGCAATGTAAGCATTGCCATATGTACTAAACCCTGCAATGTAAGCATTGCCATATCTACTAAACCCTGCAATGTAAGCATTGCCATATTTACTAAACCCTGCAATGTAAGCATTGCCATATCTACTAAACCCTGCAATGTAAGCATTGCCATATCTACTAAACCCTGCAATGTAAGCCTTGCAATATCTACTAAACCCTGCAATGTAAGCATTGCCATATCTACTGAACCCCGCAATGTAAGCATTGCCATATCTACTAAATCCTGCAATGTTATCATTGCCATATCTACTGAACCCTGCAATGTAAGCATTGCCATATGTACTGAACCCTGCAATGTAAGCATTGCCATATCTACTAAACTCTGCAATGTAAGCATTGCCATATCTACTAAACCCTGCAATGTAAGCATTGCCATATCTACTAAACTACGCAATGTAAGCATTGCCATATCTACTAAACCCTGCAATCTAAGCATTGCCATATCAAGTGAACCCCGCAATGTAAGCATTGCCATATTTACTAAACTCGGCAATGTATGCATTGCCATATCTAGTGAAATCTTGCAATGTAAATGTAAGCATTGTCATATCTAATGAAACCTGCAATGTAAGCATTCCCATATCTACTAAATCCAGCAATGTAAGCAATGCCATATCTACTGAACCCTGTAATGTAAGCATTGCCATATCTACTGAACCCTACAATGTAAGCATTGCCATATCTAGTGAACGCCGCAATGTAAGCATTGCCATATCTACTAAATCCTGCAATGTAAGCCTTGCCATATCTACTAAATCCTGCAATGTAAGCCTTGCCATATGTACTAAACCCTGCAATGTAAGCATTGCCATATCTACTGAACCCTGCAATGTAAGCATTGCCATATCTACTGAACCCCGCAATGTAAGCATTGCCATATCTACTGAACCCTACAATGTAAGCATTGCCATATCTTCTAAACTCTGCAATGTAAGCATTGCCATATCTACTAAACCCTGCAATGTAAGCATTGCCATATCTACTAAACTACGCAATGTAAGCATTGCCATATCTACTAAACCCTGCAATGTAAGCATTGCCATATCTACTAAACCCTGCAATGTAAGCATTGCCATATGTACTAAACCCTGCAATGTAAGCATTGCCATATTTACTAAACCCTGCAATGTAAGCATTGCCATATCTACTAAACCCTGCAATGTAAGCATTGCCATATCTACTGAACCCCGCAATGTCAGCATTGCCATATCTACTAAATCCTGCAATGTTATCATTGCCATAACTACTAAACCCCGCAATGTAAGCATTGCCATATCTACTAAACTACGCAATGTAAGCATTGCCATATCTACTAAACCCTGCAATTTAAGCATTGCCATATCAAGTGAACCCCGCAATGTAAGCAGTGCCATATTTACTAAACTCGGCAATGTATGCATTGCCATATCTAGTGAAATCTCACAATGTAAATGTAAGCATTGCCATATCTAATGAAACCTGCAATGTAAGCATTGCCATATCTACTAAACTCTGCAATGTAAGCATTGCCATATCTACTAAACCCTGCAATGTACGCATTGCCATATCTACTAAACCCTGCAATGTAAGCATTGCCATATCTACTGAACCCTGCAATGTAAGCCTTGCCATATGTACTAAACCCTGCAATGTAAGCATTGCCATATCTACTAAACCCTGCAATGTAAGCATTGCCATATCTACTGAACCCTGCAATGTAAGCCTTTCCATATGTACTAAACCCTGCAATGTAAGCATTGCCATATGTACTAAACCCTGCAATGTAAGCATTGCCATATCTACTAAACCCTGCAATGTAAGCATTGCCATATTTACTAAACCCTGCAATGTAAGCATTGCCATATCTACTAAACCCTGCAATGTAAGCCTTGCCATATCTACTAAACCCTGCAATGTAAGCCTTGCAATATCTACTAAACCCTGCAATGTAAGCATTGCCATATCTACTGAACCCCGCAATGTAAGCATTGCCATATCTACTAAATCCTGCAATGTTATCATTGCCATAACTACTAAACCCCGCAATGTAAGCATTGCCATATCTACTTAATCCTGCAATGTTATCATTGCCATAACTACTAAACCCCGCAATGTAAACATTGCCATATCTACTAAACTACGCAATGTAAGCATTGCCATATCTACTAAACCCTGCAATCTAAGCATTGCCATATCAAGTGAACCCCGCAATGTAAGCATTGCCATATTTACTAAACTCGGCAATGTATGCATTGCCATATCTAGTGAAATCTCGCAATGTAAATGTAAGCATTGCCATATCTAATAAAACCTGCAATGTAAGCATTGCCATATCTACTAAATCCAGCAATGTAAGCAATGCCATATCTACTGAACCCTGTTATGTAAGCATTGCCATATCTACTGAACCCCGCAATGTAAGCATTGCCATATCTACTGAACCCTACAATGTAAGCATTGCCATATCTTCTAAACTCTGCAATGTAAGCATTGCCATATCTAGTGAACGCCCCAATGTAAGCATTGCCATATCTACTAAATCCTGCAATGTAAGCCTTGCCATATGTACTAAACCCTGCAATGTAAGCATTGCCATTTCTACTGAACCCTGTAATGTAAGCATTGCCATATCTACTGAACCCTACAATGTAAGCATTGCCATATCTACTAAACCCTGCAATGTAAGCATTGCCATATCTACTAAACCCTGCAATGTAAGCCTTGCCATATCTACTAAACCCTGCAATGTAAGCCTTGCAATATCTACTAAACCCTGCAATGTAAGCATTGCCATATCTACTGAACCCCGCAATGTAAGCATTGCCATATCTACTAAACCCTGCAATGTTATCATTGCCATAACTACTAAACCCCGCAATGTAAGCATTGCCATATCTACTTAATCCTGCAATGTTATCATTGCCATAACTACTAAACCCCGCAATGTAAACATTGCCATATCTACTAAACTACGCAATGAGAACCCCTGATTGAAGACGACAGGTAAATGTGTTACTGGGTTACATCTAATGAAACCTGCAATGTAAGCATTGCCATATCTACTAAATCCAGCAATGTAAGCAATGCCATATCTACTGAACCCTGTTATGTAAGCATTGCCATATCTACTGAACCCCGCAATGAAAGCAT